CAAGACTGGAGGCTGGAATTCTTAACTGTGTTGTTCTTTTCATTACCTCAGGCTCTCTGATTGCGTGTTTCTTCATTCTTGTTGAAGCTGATATTTTTTAACTTCTTCCTGTTGGTCCCTAGCAGGAGTAAGGCTATTGTTCTTGTAAACATTGCTCTGTTAATTTCTCCTTTCCTGGGTACTGTAAGGGAGAATGACCGTAGGACCATTGTCTTGATCTCTTACTGTTTTTCCCTCATAGGTATAGACCAAGATGATGTGGCAGGAAAAGGTTGGGGGGCTTGCACCCTAACTGCTGTACTGGGGGCAGAGAACAGTGGTGATGTTGGGGAATGGAAGGGCCCTTTGCAGTTGGGGACGAGTTTTAGAGGAGCTGGGGCATTTTTTCAGAAATACCCTGAATGTGTCCCTTTTCCAGGGCCTGATACAATAACATCTAGTGGGCTCTGTGGCTTTCATGGTGAGATCTTACTAAAGAACACTTAGCCTGATAAATTAAGAGGAGGAAAGGTACTTGGCTATTCTAAGGTACCTACCTTTCCTTTTATATCATTTTTACATTTCTCTTATTTTGGAAAATGTGTGCAAGTAGAACTTTTTTTAAAACTTAGAAATAGTGTTACATTCTGAGTAATTGTTTTTTCTTTTTATTGAAGTAGAGTTGACACACAGTGTCGCATTAGTTTCAGGTGTAGAGCATAGTGATTCCCCAAGTCTACATTATGTGGTGCTCACAAGTGTAGCTACCATCTCTCTACATACGATGCCGTTGATTGTATTCCCTATGCTGTAGCTTTCATCCCTGTGATTTATTCAGTCCAACATTCTGAGTAATTTATTTTTTTCTTTAGAGAGGGAGGGAAGGGGAGGCGCAGAGGGAGAGGGAGATAGAGAATCCCAAGCCGACTCCCCCACTGAGCTTGGAGCCTGACGTGGGGCTCAATCTCACCACCCTGAGATCATGACCTGAGCTGAAATCAAGAGTCGGCTGCTTAACCAGCTGAGCCCCCCAGGCACCCCCTGAGTAATTTCTAACGTTAGTACTGCTGTCAGGTAGTCACCTGTGTGATGCCACTCTCCTGAATGATGATTTCAGAACTGATGTGAGTAGGTGCTGTGCTGGTTTTGTAAGCTCTCTCTGGGTAAGGGCTGAGTCCTGTTTACACTTATGTCCCAGTGCCTTCCAGTAATGCCTTACACATAACAGACCTGGTTTTCATTTGGTCCAGCCACAGGTAACGTCTGGGACCTTAGGTTCCAGGTTAACTTTAGACCTGTTTCCTTGTTGCACTCTTCCCTTGGTAGAGAGCCTGGACAGGATGTGGGTGGAAGGAAGAGATTTTTACCTCCTCCTCTTGTTTGTATTCTGTTTTCTGTATTTTTAATATAACATTTTTATAATTCTGTTGCTATATGAAATTTTGCTTGTATTTTTGTTGGCTTAGAAAATTCCTGGGGGGTGTACAGGGAGAAGGACACATATTTATTTACCTGGATCGCTAAAAATATCACAGGAAGCTAGGGACATTATTTGCTTTTAGGCAGGGAAACAAGGCGACTTGGGGCAGGAGTGGGAGGGAGATTCTGCACTTTTGTACCTCGTGAACTGGGACCATGTGATTGATATTCCCTGAAGGCCTTTAAAAGCAGAGATGGAGAAAATGCTCAAGAGCATCAGAAAAAGGTACCCTAAAAATCCAGTTTAGTAAAAATAAATATATGAGAGGATTATCAGGGGCACCTGGGTGGCTCAGTCGGTTAAGCATCTGCCTTAGGCTCAGGTCGTGATCCCAGGGTCCGGGAACTCAGCCCCGCATCAGGCTCCCTGTTCAGTGGAGATCCTGCTTCTCCCTCTCTGCTGCAGCTCCCCCTGCTTGTGCTCTCTGCCTCTGTCAAATAAATAAATAAAATTAAAAAAAAAAAAAAGAGTATTATCAGTTACTTTCTTTCTTTCTTTAAATTTTTTTTTTTAAGATTTTATTTATTTGACAGAGCACAAGCAGAGGGAGAGAGAGGGAGAAGCAGGCTCCCTGCTGAGCAGGGAGCCCAACGCAGGACTTGATCCCAGGACCCTGGGATCATGACCTGGGCTAAAGGCAGCCGCTTAACCGACTGAGCCACCCAGGTGTCCCTTTTTTTTTTTAATTTAGGGAGAAAAGGAGAAAAGAGAGAACCCATTCTGCTTAATGCATAGCGGCTTCCAGTATCTTTCATTCTGTGGGTTTTGTACATAGGAATTTGTGACCTACTTTTGAGTATGTTAAGCCTTTATTGCATAGTTACCTTCAAGAAACATATACTTTTATTTGTTAGAAATTTTAGACAATTCTAATCAAAGGGGAGCTTTTTTATATAATACATATTTTAAAAATTACTGTAGAGACTTGAATGAATGGGATCATTCCTCTCCTAGCAATGGAGACTTTGTTCTCTTGCCTGTTGCTTCCTACCTGAGCATGAAGTCTGACCTCCTTTCCCTGAGTGATAGCAGAACTAGGCCAGACTTTTTTTTTTTTTTTGAAGATTTTATTTATTTATTTGACAGAGAGAGACACAGAGGGAACACAAGCAGGGGGAGTGGGGGAGGGAGAAGCAGATTCCCCCCTGAGCAGGGAGCTCGATGCTGCACTCCATCCCAGGACCCTGGGATCATGACCTGAGCCAAAGGCAGACGCTTAATGACTGAGCCACCCAGGCGCCCTGGGCCAGACTTACAATCACAAGTGCTTGAAGGTGGGGAAAGGAAACTAACTGGCCATGTGGCCTTGGAAAATTACTTACCTCAGTTTCTTTATCTGTAAAATAGGGATTTCAATACCTACTTTATACAGTTGGTTGGAGAATTAAAGATAATGTATATAAATAATCTAGAATGGAACTTGACACCTCAAGTAGATGCTTAAAAACTGTATGATTATTATTGGTTAACGTCTGTTGATTTTAGGCCCCTTGAAGGAGTAAAGGATGGGAGATTCTTTTCACTGAGAATGAAAGATGTTTTGGGGAAGGCGGAGTACATCTGTTATCTGTCGGTGTATAACAAACTACTGCAGACTTAGTGGCATAAAACAACAATGAAATATTATTTCTCATAATTCTGTGGTTTGTCTGGGTAGTTTTTTTTTTGCTTGTCTCCTTAGACTTATTTGTGTAGCTGCAGTCAGATGATGACTGAAAGGGCTAAGTGGTCCCCAGTGGACTCACTCACAAGTCCGGCAGTGCTTCTGGCTGCTGGTTGGGGCGTGTTGGTTCTCTTCCACATGGCCTCTCCAGTTCCAGAAACTTCCTCACCGCATGGCAGGCCCAGGGTGGCATTCTAAGAGGGTGAGCCGCAGTGCTTGCCTATCAAATCTCTGCTTTCTTTTGCAGTTGCTGACTTGCCACTGGCCAAAGCAGGTCACAGGGCCAACCTCGGGTCACTGTGGGAGGGGACTAAGGCCCCACCTTGGTGGGGGAAAAGAAACCAAGAATTTGTGGTCATTTTTAATCCACCACAAACCCACCCTTGTTTGATTTGCTTCTTGGGCCAATATTGGGCCAAGAAAGAAAAGGTTCTGTTAGTTTCTCCAGTTTTCCTGTATCACTGATGCCTTCTTTAGACCAACATAGGAGCTGATTAAGGAACTGGGGATATTTTGTTTGGACTAAAAATTGGAATGAAGGGTAATAGCTGCTTTTATGTACTTGAAAATCCTTCTTACGAAGGAGGGACCAGCTCCAGGATATGGAAGTGACTGGAAAGCAGCTATCTCCTCTGCCATGTGAGATAGTGGGTCTTCTCGAATGCTGTCCTGCCCCCAGCCCCTACCCCCAGATGGGTAATCGTGTGTCAGAGTCTTTTGAAGGAGATGTTCCGCATTGAATGACTTGACTTAAATTATTCCTGTTAGTGTCAGAAGTCTCTGATTCTGGAACTCAGGAAGTGCACTGTGCTCTTTATCCTGAGGGTAGGGATGGATGAGGTGATGTTAGAAAGGGGAAGAATTCCTCTGCACAGACTTGTAATTTTATTTGATGTATAAGTTCATATTTACTTGCTAGAACCCCTGAGAGTTGGGATTGACTGTTGCTGTGAGGAACAGTTCTATTTAGTACAGAGTCAGGGAGCTGCATCTTGAAGACAGGTTTTCTGTGAGTCTTCTTAGGTTAGAATGAAAAGAATCAAGAGAAGAAATTGAAGTTAGAAATAGATGTGTATAATTGCTCCAGCAGCCATAGATTAACTGTTCAGCTTACTGAGTTTATCTAATGAAAACAATTTTGGTATAACTTTCCCGTAACATGATCTTGAGATCTCCTGATTTTATATATAACATAATACCAGGTCCAAATGGTGCTGTTGTCAGCTGAGAATACTGTCCATAAGCGATCAGCGTGTGGGCCTGTTCCCATTTCTCCCTCTCATCACCCTGTCTTCTTTGTTGGAGGGAGAAGGAGGAGGCAGGGATCATCATTCATTCTGTTGTCAAGCTACTGAGCAAGAGGTTTGATGGAGGTGCTGTCTTTGGTCTATGTTACCAGGCCGGCCACTTTGGTCAATGGTGTTTCTATGGAGCCTGCCCCATTTCCAGCACTGGGTTTTTTTTTTTTTTTTTTAGAAAACTCAGAGTAAGGCAATAAGCTACAGTACCTCCAGTGATTCACACGCAGAGTGGTGTTAAGTTTTCGGTGGGAAGCAAAATTTAAGCTACAAATAAATATGCTAGCTGAAGCAGAAGATTGCTTTCCTGACTGGCTCATTTACAAGCTGGAAAGTTGTGAAAAACATCAACCTACCAACTGTATAGCTCATTGGCTCTTTGCTTTGGGCTTCCATGTTCTTCCTGGTAAAAATAATAATTATGTTATTCAGATATGGTTGCCAAGCGTTCATGCTTCTCACTCCACTTGTGATTATAAATGATTCTGCAGCGCAAATTGCTTTGTCTTTGATTTAATGTTTCATAACATTTGGAAGTTACGTTATCTGTGCTGATTTGTCGTTCTCTTTCCCTTTTCAGAATGGACTGCTGAATTATGAAGAATTTCAGACCCAGTAGTAGAACCTCACTTGGCCACTCACTCCTTTATCTTCTACTGGTTATTTAAATTGGACTTTTAATATCCTACCAGCTGCTCTTCAGACACACATGGTGCATTGTTGCCATTCCCCGGATTGCATCTTTGAAACACAGGCTCTTAGTAGATTTCAGCGAACAAAGAGGCAACCTCCTGGGTACATTTACTGGGAGGGTGTCACCCTGACTGCCCTCTAGCTTCTGCCGGATCTGGATTTGAATTCCACCATGGAGCCTCGCATGGAGTCCTGCCTGGCACAGGTGTTGCAGAAGGATGTGGGGAAACGACTGCAGGTTGGCCAAGAACTTATAGACTATTTCTCAGACAAACAGAAGTCTGCTGACCTTGAACATGACCAGACCATGTTAGATAAACTTGTGGATGGGCTTGCTACCTCTTGGGTGAACTCTAGCAATTACAAGGTAAGCTGTGCTTTAGAAGGCACTGGTGTAGGTGGCTGGGTTGCCTCGGTGGGTCAGAATTCGTCCTTAGAAAAAAGACTCGTTTGGGAGCAGTCAGCACAATTCCTTGGCTTCCAGTAAGACACTTACGTAGGCTGTGGCATTTGGATGTTTTATCCTGGAGCAAGTAGGGTTTTCTTTAATTTTTTGGGGGATCAAAAAATCCTTATGCTTTAGTACTTTGAGAGAAGGCCAAGTGAGCAGGATAAAGAGAGGCTTTTATGTTGGAAAGTTTACGATCATTTGCAGCCTTGAAGTTAAAGTGAATGTTCTATCTTGCACTGAAAGGGTCATGAGACTTTGGTGAGTGGCCCTTCACGAATAGCAGATGTCTTCACTGATTTCCTGTGGGGAATGGAATTGGCGATAGCATGTGGAGCATTTTACCTTCAGGTCATTGTTTTGAAGTTGGCCTAGGTACCTGGCTAGAAATAGTATGGGTTGCCAAGGACTCTTCTGTGACTTGTATGTAATGGCCTGGAGGATATCCTTCAAGTTCTAAAGATTGAGGTGGGCATGTGCCTTTGGTGGGTAGGGGGTGCAGGCAGGGATCCCAAGACCCAAATGAGTTGTGAAGGTTGACCATTTTACCATTCAAGGATTGAGCTTTTGTGACTAAAAACTGGACTGGACTTGTACTGCAGAGGTGTCATTCTGTCTACCTGTCCCCTTCCCCTCTCTTTTAGTTTGCCAAGGGAGTGGCCCCTTTGGGTCAAGATTGGGATGGAAGAGTAGGGCATCTGTATGACTCCTAATAGGTGCTGTAGACATTGAGAAAGGGGCTCACAGGAAACAGAATCTTTTGTGCTTTTTTATTGGCTCAGTCTTCTGAGATTGGTTTGGACTTGGAAACTGGTGCGTGTAGGATTTTTTTTGTTTGCTCTAGCATAGACTTGTTTTCCAAATTCATTAAACCTTGGTCTCATCTAAGAGTCAGCAGGCTTTATACTCATTAAGGATGTTACCTAGGACCCTGATATTTTACTTACAATTGCATATAAAATTTATCCTGTCTTTGAAGGCTGAGCTTAATTTTTGTTTCATTCATCTATTTATTTATTTAGCTGCAGATGACAAGTGCTGCTTATGTGCTTGGCCTTGGTGCTGGGTGATGGGAATGTTACAGACAGGGGAGGTGGTAGAGGGTCTGGTCGCTCCATTTTTGGGGGCTGTAAAGTCACTTCGTCTGGGTTGGAATCCCAGTTCCACCACTCTGGGTGCACATTGCGATGTTTTTGCCTGAGAGTAACTGAGGACTGACTTATTGGCTTCAAACTGCTATCAGGAGATTGAGTGATTTTCTTTCAGAGTTTAAGAAGTCTGCAGTAGCTAAGGCAGTGTCCAGGGAAGAATGTCTGCTTGTGTCTTTTACTTGTAGGGAAACCTTTGTCAGAAGCTCCCCGGCAGACCTTTGTACATCAGATTGGCCAGAATGGCTTTGCATGGCCACCCCAGCATCACTGGAAAATAGATAGGTGTCCATGATTGTTTTCCACCATCATGCTTGACCTCCTGATCTCAAGAAGACTCCAGCCTCCTTTGAGTGAAACATATGGCTGTGTGAAGGAGGGGGGATATTTGAATACTGTCAGACTCCTCTCAACAAATACTGGTTCCATGAGTGAATAAGTACTCCCTAAGCATCCAGTCCAGTAAGGGCAGATAATGAAACAAAGAGCTCTACTCCAACCATAATGTGCAACTGTGCAACATCAGACCTTTGAGCAATATCAGACTTCTGTTAATATATAAAACTCATGCTTTATATATTATGGGTTGAAGGAGAAAGTTAGGGATGGGACTGAGGTAGTAGGGATGTTAAATAGGTAACCCAGAGAGTCTGCTGTACTGTGTGAGCTCTCTTAACCTCTCCTGGCTTCGGGCTTTAGTTCCCTCATCTACAGTGTTGGGATAACTGAGTTATTATGAGTACTAAATGTGACAGTGTATGTTGGTGGGAATGCAAACTGGTACAGCCACTCTGGAAAACAGTATGGAGGTTCCTCAAGAAGCTGAAAATAGAGCTACCCTACAACCCAGCAATTGCACTACTAGGGATTTACCCCAAAGATGCAAATGTAGTGATCCGAAGGGGCACCTGCACCCCGGTGTTTGTAATAGTGATGTCCACAATAGCCAAACTATGGAAAGAGCCCAGATGTCCATCGACAAATGAATCGATAAAGAAGATGTGGTATATATACACACAATGGAATACTACTCAGCCATGAACAAAATTGAAATCTTGCCATTTGCAATGACATGGATGGAACTAGAGGGTGTTACGTTAAGTGAAATAAGTCAATCAGAGAAAGACAATTGTTATATGATTTCACAAATATGTGGAATTTAAGAAACAAAACAGAGGAGCATAGGGGAAGAGAGAGAAAAATAAAACAAGACAAAATCAGAGAGGGAGACAAACCCAAAAGAGACTCTTAATCATAGGAAACAAAATGAGGGTTGCTGGAGGGGAGGAAGGTGGGGGGTGGAGTAACTGGGTTATGGGCATTAAGGAGGGCACGTGATGTAATGAGCACTGGATATAAGACTGATGAGTCACTGACCTCTATCTTTGAAACCAATAATACACTATATGTTAATTAATTGAATTTAAATAAAAAATAAAGTGCATATCTAAACAACAACAACAAAAAATAAATGAGACGGTGTATCAAGTTGTCCCATGTCTGCCGCATAGCAAGCACTGGGATATTAGTGGTGGTTATTAAGACTGGTTCCTGTCTTCCAGGAGCTCCTAGTACAGGGGGAGTGGGGAGGGAGAGCACTGATCAGCAAGCCAAGGGTTACAGTATAGTATAGTGGGAGCAGTAGCAGAGACCCACAGAATTGGGTGGGAAGCCAGAAGAACATGACAACACTGCCTGGAGGAATCCAAGGTTTGAAGGTTGGGTAGTTTTTTTCAGAATAGCATTTTCAGGGTCACAAAAGTGTGAAAAATTAAAATTTGACCCTTCTCAAAGTAACTTATAAGGAAGACAGCTTGGTGTGAAGGAGAAGTCAGGAAGACAGGGTTTACTACCGAGTTGCATGTGATCATGGACGAGTCACTTCACCTGTCTGCAATGCTGGTGTTGGGCCAGGTCATCCCTTGAGAGCCTCCAAGCTCTAATATCTTACACAGCTTCATACCGATGGCTTTACGGTCCGGGCCATGTCAGATGGTTCTAATGTTACACAGTACTGAGCACCCCCTTTCTTTATAAGCTCTCTCAGTGTGGTGACACCGAGCCCTCTGCATGCCTGGAGCCCGGATCCTGGAACATAGAAGGTGCTCAATGAATACTGGTTGCATGAGTGAACTCAGGAGCTTAGACTGTTGGGCAAGTAGTCCTGGTAGCTTTACCAAAATCTGAAAACTTACCTTTTTGTCCCCTCTCCTTTTTTTTTTTTTTTAAAGATTTTTAAAATTCATTTGAGAGAGAAAGCACAAGCAGGGGGAGCAGCAGAGGGAGAAGGAGAAGCAGACTCCGTGCTGAGCAGGGAGCCTGACGTGGGGCTAGATCCAGGACCCTGAGATCAGGACCTGAGCCGATCATGAGTAATTGCTTAACCGACTGAGCCACCCAGGCGCTCCAAAGGTTATGCAATTTCTAATTTTGACATATACTCCCAAATTGTTCTACACAAAGGTTGCTCTACTCTATGCATGAATGTATGAGTGCTGGTTCCCTATATATTTTCAGATGCTGGGTATTATCAAAGTCTTTCATTTTTGCCAAAATAATAGTATAAAAGCGTATCTTTTTAATTTTTGTTTCTCTTTAATTTTGGGTGAAATGTACATTTTTTGTTTACTAACCACTTGTATTTTTTTCCTGTCAACTGCTTATATCCTTTGTCCATTTTTCTATGTTTTGGTGTTAATTTGTACAGTCCGTTTCTGTATTATGGAAATCAGCTTGTCATATGTGCCATTTGCCTTTTGTCTTTGTGGATTGTTCTATTTTTATTTTTTCAAGATGTATTTATTTATTTGCTAGAGCACAAGCAGGGGGAATGGCAGGCAGAGGGAGACGGAGAAGCAGGCTTCCCGCTGAGCAGCGAGCCTGACATGGGGCTTGATCCCAGGACCCTGAGATCATGACCTGAGCTGAAGGTAGTCCCTTAACTGACTGAGCCACCCAGGGGTGCCTGGGTTCTCCTCCCCCCTCCCTTTTAATCATAGATAAGATTTCTCATTAGAGCCTCAGGTGCCTTTTAGGTTTTATTTGACATGCTTTCTATATTATGGATTGAAAGGATTCACTTTATATTAAAACTTTGCAGCTTGGCTTCTTGATTTTTTTTTTTTTTTTTAAATTAAGGACTAAAAAGAAGGAGAAAATGGAAACCATTTTAGGCTTTCAAAGCAGTAGTACTTGGGTATTGTTATTCCTTAACAAAGAACGTAGATGAATGTCAACGCCGTTTCTTATTTAAAAAAATAGTTGGCTGGGGCTTGAATCATTTTACATTTGATTATTTCTTAACTTGGTAAACATATTTGTATTTGGCATTAATTGTAGTTTAACAGCTACCCTTTATTGTTTAGTTACTATATGTTCAGGATGTTACCTGTCTTATCTCTAATCTTTGCAACGCCCCTGCAAGGTAGGTGGTGCTACCCTGATTTTATACATAAGGTAACTGAGATCACCCAGAATTATGAGGTAATTCCTACTTGTGATTATGGAACTGCGACTTCAACATAGGTCTCCCTGATTTCCTAGCCTCTGCCCTTCTCACAAGAACAGGGTCTGTAAACTTTCTTAAAGGCTACATGGTAAATATTTAAGGCTCAGTGGGCCATATGGATTTCTCACAAATATTTAACTAGTTTGGACCATTCTAGTGCAAAAAACAGCCACGGGCAACACACAAATGAATGGGTATGGCTGTGTTCCAAAACAACTTAATCTATAGAAACAGATGGAGAACCAGTTTGGCTCATGGACTGT